CGTATAAATTTGGTGGTTAAGATTTTCATGGTAGGTCAAATATTTTTCACTAATAAGGTCAGTGAAAAGTGGGACCCAAAGGGGTTAATATTGGGCTATAGGACTGCCAAACTGACTCTCCACTATGGTTGTATCATCACCGTTATGGACCCCACTGTATTAAGACTAAGAGGATGTTTGATATCTAAATTTATTCTTTGATTTGAATCATGATTTGTAGTTAATTATAGTATTTTTTTTCATAAAAAATACACATAAATCGTAAATAATTCTAATTACATAGTTCTAATCTATGAACTAAATATCTCCTAAATCTATGTTCTCTGTCTTGCCCAAAAATAAAAAATAAAAAATAAAAAAAGTCCATGTTCTATTTTTTTAATGTTTTTTTTTAACATTAGTCCTCTTGCGTTTGTCTTCGGTGTAGTAGTCACGTAGTAGAACTAGAAGTGCGGGTTGGGTTAGCCGTTAGCCTATAAGCTAGAGTAGTTGAAGGAGTACTTGTGGGACAAAGATACAGTGGGCCCCACAGAATAATAATTCTTTTCTTTTCTTTTTTTTTTTTTTTTTTTTTTGCGCCATAAATTCCTAAGCCCGGATTACTGCGAGTAACAAATCGAATTTGCCGTTTCCTGTAAATACTGACTGACTGGGGCTACTACAGTCATTTCGATGCCTGATGGGTAATGTGAGATTTTGCCGGTTATGGTCCGTCGGGTGAGCTGGCTGGGGTATTTTCGTCATCGCGATTTTATCTTTTCATGGAAAATGAGATTTCGAATGATGTAACGTTCACGGTCAGTCATGCCACTTAGGAAACGACAAGAATGTTTACTCGCCAACGGGACAACAGTGACACCACAATTTGTCTGGCTCCAGCCACAAAAAACTAATGGACGTAAAATACCCCTACTATTATTGTTGGAATACACGAGTTGAAATAAATTTTTGGTAATACGTGAGTACTTGAACCACAAAATGTCACCTCTTCCTAGGTTATTTTAAACATCTCTTTTTTTTTTTTTTTTTGCCAAGTGAAAAAAAATTATAAAAGCCAAAGACAGAACCGAAAAGGGAAACTTTTTACTAGAAAACCGAAAAAATTAAGAGGAAGATAACCGTTTTATAAAGAGATCGTGACTTGTGATCTTATCTTCTGCCGTTTTAATTTTTGTGGAGGATTTACAAACCTTATCTTATATTTATAAGTAAAGGAAACGAGTGCGGTGTATATGTAATATGTGTCATCCAATTGAAGCATTGCGCTGCTACTATCCCATTGGTTGAATTGCCCTTAACCATCTTTACTTATCCTAATTAATTGGTCTGCATTGGTATTCTTTAAACAAAATCACCACTGTAAGCATTCACATTGTTATTCATCATAACTTGTGGGAAATTAGGATTCTGTTATAATTGACCAAAAGAGATCGGTGAATTCTTAGGTCTCGTTCGTTTCATCGATTCCAGTTTTCAATTTCAGTTTTGCTATAATTAAAAGCTCTCATAAAAAGTCGCATCTAACTTTTTTGTTACAGTTAAAAGCTCTCACATAAAATCACATCTCCGCTCGAATTGAAAACTCAAATCGGCGAACTGAACGATACCTTAATAATTCCTATGTAGAAAATTTGTCGCGTCCGATTTTTATTATTTTAACTTGATGACTACTTTTTTTTTTTATTCTTGAATGTTGAAAATTCTATGTACCTAATCAATTGTGTTGATCACGATAATGTTTCAATTGTGTACCAGGTGGGACAACCGTACGTCTGTGGTTTTACCAGAAGGTGAAGTTTTCTACTTGGTGGGATTGCTACGTTTCACTCCTCCACAAACAAAGGCTCCCTTAGTTGAAAAAATTGTTCTTGAAAACAGGGAAATAGTCCAGTATTGCTCTTCGAATGGCATCGATTTCAAGCTATACATGCCTCACTACCGATCTGAGGAGGAATGGAAGCGGCATTTTGGAAACCAATGGACAAGATTCGTCCAAAGGAAGGCTAATTTTGATCCAATGGCCATCTTGTCGCCCGGTCAGAGAATTTTCTCCAGGATTCCTCAATCCTAGCCCCATCATAGTACAAATTCAAAAGCCTCATGATCAACAATGGGGGCTAAATTCAATGTAATACTGTTGTAATTTGGCATATCATGCATCTTTGCTACTTTCCCATCAGTGGATCGGTTCAAAGTGTTATCGATCGGTTGACAGAAAGATATTGAAGCAATATGTAAAGGAATATTTTGAAGCAAATTTTTTTTTTTTTTTTTTTTTTATCGATCCTTTCTCAAGAAGAAAAAAAAAATCCAACTCCAAAAGCAAAAGTTGAAGAATTCAATGATTTGATGACTATACATCACGGTAACTTCCCATTTGAAATTCATGGCCATGAATTTCTACTGTGTAATAAGCAATTAAGTTATAATATGGTCCTTGATCCATGACATTGATAGATGTAAATGTTTCATTGGTTAAAAGTCCTTATCATGGTCTATATAATGCAACTAGTGCTAGATTGCTCATCAGCCAATCTTCTTTTTGCCTTTGTTTTCTTTCTCCCTCTCTTTTTTTTTTTTTTTTTTTTTTTTTGCCCCCCTTTGCGAACATACATAGGCCAAATAACCAATTAATTTAGGCCGTCCAAATGATGTCTTATCCGAGCTAATCATAACTGGCCTTGATGTTTCAGTTCAAGATTACTTGACTTCACCTTGGCTATGGTCAGTTCTCTATTTTCAATATTTATAAAAAAAGTAGATCATAAAAGGTACCCAATTAGGCACGGAGATAGGTATCAGATTCTCTTTTCACGCCAAAAGATCAAATAACAAGAGAAAAAGCTTTAATTTCACTTTGATTTGAAGATGATTTTCACCTCGGGCATCGCTTGTTTTTTGTTCGGTTCCCAAATCCAACCAAAACCAAATCAAATCTACTTGGTTTCTTCGTGTTCAACTCTTCCCACTTTGGCGCTTACTCTTTCCTTTCCTTTCTTTTGATTGCCTTTTCTTTTCTTTGATTTATTATTCAGCTCTTCCTCCTTTTCCTTTTCTACTATAGCTTTTTTTTTTTTTTTTTTTTCCTTTTTATCTCTTTTGAAAAGCAGAGAAAAGTTTACAATTGTATGGGCCCCCCACTCGAAGCATTAACAAGTCAATTATAAGATCATGATTTCTTGTAAGGTGCACCGACCCAATAGGAGAGCGTTTCCTCGTTTAATCCCATGCAGAAGCATCCTATACGTTCTTGGGTAAACGTGTCATGCACGAACGTCTTTTAAACCCACTCCTCTTCACCAATTGAAATAGATAAATAAAATGACTTTCGTAATAATCTTTTTTTTTTTTTTTTTTTTTTTGCTAGAGCATTAAACAAGTACTTTTACGTCCTATTCCTAACATTGGTTATGGAGCACATGAGGTCTAGGTTAAAAAATTGGAGAAAATTGCTGACCTTATTCGGGACATGAGTCTGGATATTTATCTCTTATTATTTGATTAAATAAGATATTAATTAAGAGTAAATGATAAAATTTAGAGACATACACTCTAAAAAAGTAGGGAAATAGGCCAATATGAAAAGCTTAAGAAAGTATATATGCTAATTTTTAGTTATAGAAATTAATATGCCATAACTTGTCAAGTTATGGTTCATAACCAGATAAGTTATGGACAAACTTGTCAAGTTATGGTTCATAGCCAGACAAGTTATGAACAATTATGGACAATAACTTGTCAAGTTATGGTTCATAACCAGACAAATTATGGACGAAAACAATAATTTGGCATATTTATTAACTTATGTAAACTATTGGCCTATTAATTTTAATTCATCTCAAGTCTTGGCCTATTTCCCTCTTTCTCCCAAAAAAGTATTTATCTCCTTTCCCTATTACTTCATCAAACCTCATCGTCAGCCACTCTGATTAATCAATTAATCACCTAAAGTGCGGAGAATATTAGAGAATCTGCCCCTTACTTCACTTATTTAATTTTGTACCTTTTTTTTAATAAGTTGATACATGATGAAGATTTCTTATGGTTTTTTTTTTTTTTTTTTAAATTACACTCATTTACTAAAGGCCCCCTCTAAATTTTTCAAGCCTAATATCACGGTGCTCGTAATTTAGACGTTGTATTATGAATTACGAGCGACAAATTAATCTACTGTAATTAGGTTCTTCATCCTTTAATTAGGCCAGCACCGGCCCAAACAAAAGCAGACATTTCAAGTAAAGAGATCAGACAACATTCTAATTAAACACGCAAGCAACTTTTAAACACTGGTTTAGATACTGACCCTTATTAAACTAAAGTTAGGTAACCTAATTTTTATTTTATATAGGAATGTGCATATTTCTCAATGTTTATTAGCAGTACTTCTTTGAATGAAAAGAATGTTGGTTAAATTTAACTAATAGTATTTATTTTTTTCCCCTAAAGAAAAAAAGTAATTTTGTTTTTAATTTGTGACATTTTTTATGTATGTCTGCTGGAATTCACTTATTTACAGATAATACAATATTATACGGGGACAGCCTCAATTGATGCTAATTGAAGATTGTCTAGTCGATCGAAAGTACTAATTTTGTGTTTGGTACAAATCAAAGCTTGATTAATGCATGACAGACAAGACCAGGCCAATAAGGCTAATTTGTTTGCAAGTCAAAACGACAAAACAAGGATAGCTTAATTAGTGATGGAGTAGTAGGATAAGAGAAGAGGAGACAATGTGAAAGGACTGGACAGCAAATGGCTCATTATGTTTGACATTTGATTCCTTTGTTTTGAAATGATTATTTCCAACGATCAATTAATTATTATTCTCAATTATCACAGAAATAGGAGCAACCGCTTTCATATTTGGATCAGTTCCAATCAGATCCTCCTAATTAGATTCTAAAGTTTTACTTCTACAACTCTCACACTAAAGCCATTGATACAAGAAGTTTTTAACCTTTTTTTTTTTTTTTTTTACTATTTAACACATTTTCATGATTTGATATGCTTTGAAAAAATTTTGTTGTCTTTCCTTTGTAACTCAAAAAGCTTTTAGCTTTATATCTAAAATCCCTTTCACCATGTAAAGACAAATGAGTCAATACAAAGCCGAGTTGTCCCACAGCGATTGCGGGCACATTCTTTTATAAGGTCTTTATAAACCTTAACGATAGTGGAAACCTCAAGAAGTAAACGACAACAAACTTTAAACAGAAAAAAAAAAAAAAACGGCGGTAAAAATTAAAACCGACTCGTGGAATAGTAAAAGGATATAATTGGCATAACAGTAAAGCAGAGGAAAAAAAAAAAAAGAAACCACAATTGCAAAAACGAAAGGGAATTGATGAAAAAACGACAATCGCATCAATAATCCCTGACAAATAAAAAGGACGAGACGAAAAGTTAAATAAGAGTCGGGGACTTCCAGACGAAAAACGATTCTAAACAAAAAAAAAAAAAAAAAAAAAAAAAAAAAAAAAAAAAAAAAAAACGACAATGACGTAAATAAAAGACGGGGATGTAGAAACGCAAAAAAAAATTATGAGATAAGGACAATCTAAAATTAAAACAAAAACAAAAGCGTGAGAAAACGAGGACAGATAAAAACGACAGTGAATATTACTATTGGCAAACAACACTAAATGGAAAGCGACAAAGTGAAAATAATTCAAACGAAGTAAACGACAATAGATAGATCACATCGACGGGAAACGTCAAAAAATTATGAGAAACGATCAAACAAAAAAGGAAAAGACGATGGTTCTGGGTGACTAATCACGAGTTCAAGGATGTTGTTTTGGCAGCGTGGATTAGAGAGGATAATGGCAGAGATAGCCGAACTTTCATGGATAGTTTGGCTAGATGTGTAGGCAATCTTCGTGCAGCAAAGTTTGGTAATATACCGAAGCGGGCTCTTGGAGCGTCTACTGGGGAGAAGGAGAGAGAATTAGATAGGTTGCTTGCTTTGGAGGAATACTATTGGAAGCAACGGGCCCGGACGGAATGGCTTAAAGGTGGAGATCGGAACAGGATATTTCATAGTTCATAACTCATGATTCATTATTCTAATTTTTAATAAGAAAAAAATATTATAAAAAACTAAAAATTACGATTTAAAACTAGAGATGAACCATTAAAACAAACATCCCATAAACTTTTCCGCTCTAAAGCATCCAGCTGAGGACAGAAACATGAGATTAAGGGTGTTGAGCAGAGATAGTTGAGGTCCTAGAAAATTATTTCATTGATATTTTCTCCACTTCTCTACCGGACGAGGATTGTTTCGATGCGGCTTTAGAAGGGGTGGACAGGAGAGTTTCGGCGGAAGTTAGTGCTAAGTTGGATGATCGATGTGTTTACCGCTGAGGAAGTTAAAAAAGGGCGGTTTTCGGTACGAGTTCATGGAAAGCTCTGGCTTTTATGAGGAGAATTAGGAGTTAGTGGGAGCGGATGTGACCCAAGTATGCCTGAAAATTCTTAATGGAGGGATGTTTATTGGAGATTTAAATGAAACTATAGACTTTGTTTATTTCACCGATTTAAGTTTAAAATTTAAATTTTATTATGATAAAAAACTCTCAGAAAACAGTAATATTTAATTTTTTTACTACAGTAAAAAACTCTCATATAAAGTCATATTTCAATTCGAATTAAAAACTTAAATTAGCGAACTAAACGGGCCCATATTGTGCTCATTCGGAAAATCAAAGCACCAAAGAAGGTCTCGGACTTTCGACCTATTAGCTTGTGTGATGTAATTTATAAGTTTATTACAAAAGCTATGGTGGATAGATGGAAAGTCCATTTGCAGTCTGCAGATGCACCGGTGGAAGTTGAAACAAAGAAGATGGTTTTCTGAGCCATGGGGATAAGAATTGCCAGAGGGAAGAGTGAGAAAATAACACACTTGGTTTTCTGTACGAGTTCAGTGAGGAAGCAGTGAAACTACTTGCTAGTAAAGGAAAATCTAGTGTTGCTCATGGAAGACAATGTTTTCTTTGACACTGTACTGTCCTGTTCTAACAAGTCTGGCATTGCTGTGGGCAAGCGCCCATGCAATTCAGAGAAATTATCTCCTTGCACACCATTGGGTTTAAGTTTGAAGCGTTGCAAGTCAGATCACTGATCCTCAACCTTGTTTCTTTTTGTTCTTTCCTCATCCAACAAGGTTCAATGTGTCAATGGTGTTTCCATTTTTGTATGTGCCTGACATGTAGATATATGATCAGCCTTTGGTCTTTGTGT